TTATAAATTTCATGAGTTTTGGTTTTGCCATCCCAAGTCCCACACCCCGCTCTCCTTACCACTCTCTTCTTATTGCCAATTTTCTTCAACTTAGTGAAGACATAGATAACGAATTCTTTGTTACTCGTATGCCGCCATTGATCTTCGAATTCTTTTCTGAATATGTCCCATGGGGCTTTCACATAAAGATCAATATCCAATATTATACCCTCAGGCAAGCTCTCTCCCGTCACTTTTCTTCTCAGGTAATGGAGGATTTCATCTTCTTTGGGGGCAAAGCGAAACCCTAACGGCGGTATAAACATCTCTATCTGAACTGGGTTAATAGCAAGCAAGGACGTAGATTGTTCTGTTCTTTTTCTGATACCAAGCGAGGACGTCAATCTTCGTCGTGAGAGTCGGCTCAATCAACGATAGAAGAGAAAAAGAGGGGCCGCCCACTTGATTAGATTTAGAACAATATTTGTGTTAGAACTGCTATCTTCCCGACTTCTTCAAATACAGAAGATTAGGTTCTAATTTGTTTCGCGCCGATAGATATACATACACTCTGCCTGTTTATATAGAGAATCTAAGGATGCCAGAAGTGGATTAAAAATAGGAAAGAGAGGCGGCTCATATATTTGTTGCCTTAAATGAGTTGCGATTAGGCTTGCCTAAAAAGTTACTTAGGAAGGAAGGAAGGAACGTTTTTGGAAACTGGGGAAAGAATTATAATTATTTGTTTAATTTTTGTATCTAAAATCACAATTAATACCATAAATATACACTATTAATATTTCCTACTACCCCCCTGTGTATATATATTGTATGTGATCATATACGTGAAATAACTATCTACCTTTTTTTCTCAAAAAAAAAAAAAAAAATTCCTACAACATTTACTCATGCAATGGTCAATTTAACATGCAATGGTCAATTTAATTTTAGTCGTTAAAATCGGATATTGTAAGTCAAATTTCCTCCTAAGTTCTAAATTTGAATATAAATTAATTACGCTTTTAACTTTATAATTTTCTTTTTTTATTTCTAACTAAAAACACACGTCATGGTTTTTTATCTGAAATAAACACTGTTTTTTTTAATTAATTTTTTTTTTAAATTTCTATTAATCATTATTAATGTTACCCCAATGAAATGAAAAAAAGAAGAAGATAAATTCTTGTGTGAATTATCTGTTTTAAAACTAGTATTATCAGTTTAAAAGTCGGCTCTTTATAAAGTAAATTTCCATTTACATAAACCACAGTAAATTCTTAATTAGTCAGCATGAAATCAATAATCTAAAAGTATTTTAAAGCTACTGAAATTAGCTGAAATTTATATAATCTGATTGTACTCCCTTCTTTTTTGAAAAAAAAAACTCATTAAATTTCGTTCCATGTTTTTCATTTTATAATTTTTTACAGAAAAAATAGTAAGGCACCTAAGTCATACAAATCTTCTAAAAGGGTGCTGGTCTTACTTTTTGCGCTACCCTTGCTTCCATTCTTACTCTATATGGCTTAATTTTTGCTTTCGCACTCCCGCACCCGTTGACTTAGAACAACACTCTATTATCCAATCCGAAGCAATCCAATTTGTGCAGAATGGTTTGATTTTGAAGGCACATGCATGAGTTCGATTTGGATTTGAAGTAAAAAAATCCAATCTAATTTAATTAAATCCCTAATGCACATATATATGTTCCAATATATACCCACAACCAAAAAAAAATTCATTTCGTTCCACTATATTGAATCTACTAACTCTAGAATTTATTTATTCAAGTAAAATTTTAAAACCGAGCCTTGGTAATTTTATTTTTTAAAGCCGATAAATTTGCAATCTAATAATTGAAAGAATTTATTTATTTAATTTGGTGATCTTAACAAGAATTATTGGTATAATGGTATGTTCACATAAACCCAATTTATAAGACCATTCACATCCAATATGGTGTTTTGCGGATTGTATCGGTGTGAGTTTTATTTGGTTTAGTTTTATTTGGTTTCAGTTTCATAAGTTTGGATTAGTTTTAATTTTATGTCTAAATCACATCAATTCAATTCGTGTGCACCTCTGAACCACAATTAACATTAAAACCCTTTAACCCTTTGAAATGTAGTTTTTATTAGAAAATGGAAAAATTTTAAGAGAAAAATGTTTCCAATACCCTGTGTGTTCCTAGAGGGTGGTGAATGAGAATACACCGGGGCATCACACGTACAAAATGATGTATATAATGTAAATGTTCCAAAACATAACTTTTTTTTCTTTATATATGTATGTGTATATATATATATATATGATTTCTTAGTCCAAATGTAAAGAAAATAGCATTTGCTACGATCATTTAGCACCAAAACACGTCAATACACCCTGGGACGGATCTTGAAATTCATATTGGAATTTAGGGATAAAAAATGCAATAATATAAAATTTCAGTGTGGGGATGCCCCCACTGAGCCCTTCACAAATCCGTGCCCGAAGACACCCACAAACTCCCTCAAAGTCCAAGGCATAACCCACTGAATCCAAGATCTTCACAAGACATACTCAAGTATCAGTGCAGCAGCAATTAAGTAAATGGTGACTGATTTTGGCTTGTATACTTGTAAGATTTTGACTTGTATACTTGTAAAGTATGCCTTGTCTAGATATTCCCAACTTGGAGACATCAAATTGAGCTAGAATCCTCAACCTTGTAACGACGAATCTCAGCTCACACACGTGTGGGTCTCCACACATATAAAGGCCGGGATCCGTTGGATGTGGTATAACTACCAAAGAAGATCCCTGCTTCATCAAATTGCCTGCCACTAGGACTTCAAATCATTTTCTGCCAAATAAATCTAAATCTACAAAACAATTTATTGAGATACCACTGTAGTAGATGTGTCCCTATGATAATTTGAAATGGCATTGAAGCAACAGAAGACAATGCTGGCTACGGTGGACTTTCAACCTAATTAACACCGAAAAGCATGAACATGGTGAAGCCTTTTTGTTGAAATATCAGTGACCTAACCATCAATGTCGAGAGGGGAGTTGAGATACAAAGCTCTGTTCACATAAAAGGCAGCAAACAAAGAAAACATCTCTTCCTAGGTCTAAATTTGAAGGCAAAACGAAGAACGTTATATATTTGATGCATCAGGAGAAGTGCTATTTTGAGCCTCCCTCCATCATTGATGAATCAAGACAAAACCTAAGTCAACATGGATTCAAATACTAACAATCTCCCGTGGCATATAATCCAGCTGAAACCCACACTAAGTCGTGGAAACTTTTTATTTGTGCAAGTTTTTTTCTTCTTGAGAAATAGAACCTTAGAATCCTCTTGGGAAAAGCAAAGTAGGTTTATTTGTTTATGTTTTTTTCTTCAGCTTCGATAATATGATGCAAAAATTAATTAAAAAAATCAATTATTAATTGACGCAAAGCAAAGTAATCATATACCTAGCCACTAGTTATGTTTCCAATATGATTATATTGCAGGTGGACACAGAATAAAAGTTTGATGAAGCAAGGAAAACTTGATTCAAAACAGAATGCAACTCATCACTTCAGCAAATTTATTTGATGCATCAGGAGAAGTGCTATTTTGAGCTTCCCTCCATCATTGATGAATCAAGACAAAACCTAAGTCAGCATGAAAAAAAAAAAACAACTCATGAGAAATTTTAAAGTACATCGTTTAGAAAGCACATGTTATATAAACATTTAGAAACAACTCATTTTCAAGAGAAGACCCAGTACATCAAAGAGTCAAATTTTAGGTGGTGTTATGTTTCCTCAAGTTAGTTTACTCTTGGTTCAATTTTATATGCTATATCAAAATTTTGTATTAAGTAATTTCTGTGACACTAACTGAAGACTCTGCTATATAATCAACTTTCATGAATGAAAAATTCTGAAATAAAGAGTTAAGACTGACACTAAGTGACACATACCTACTCCAAACCCATGCAATAATAAATATGCTGGGTAATAAACCTAAATCATAAGTTGCCCAAAATACTCCAGTTGCAGGCAGTATAGCACCAGTATTTGAGCACAAATTTGGTATTAAAATGGTATAAGGTCTCTGAGCATCTTTCACCCTAATTTTCCCAATAGCTCTTTTTGCACTTATTAGACACAAATTCCCAATAAGAACGTTAATTGCGGTCTGTGTTGGAGCCAAACCAGCACTAACAATTTCATAAAAAATTTCTAGGGCAGTCTCAAATCTACTAAATTTACATAAACCAACAAGAATATTACTATAAGAATAAGTAGCAGGGAATCCAATCATTCGAAAATTCATAATTACAGCATCAATGAATTACCCCAAACATTCCTTCTTACAAAGCACATACAATTGAGTCCTCTTAGAGGACTGAGTGCTGAATACATAAATTACTAATTTGAGGAAATCATTGAATCTTGCTTAAAAAGAGGGAAAGAAAAATACGAAAAAAGAATGAAATTCCAAAATTCATCAATTAGGAAACCTACAAGTTCACATTCAAATTGAAGATGATTTTAAGTGAACCAACTCACAAAGGATTTAAGAAATTTCAGATGGGATGAAAATCAGTCATGACATGAGAAAATTTAGGTATTAGTCATGAAAACATTTTTGTGAGCCAAAAATCAACAGCCAAATGGAAAGGTCTGATTGGATCTTTGTCAAAGTCTAACAAGAAACTGATGAAATAAAACCATGTAAAAGAGTAGATTCATTGAAAACCTACAAAGGGTCAATTACTTCCCTCTCACAAAACCCACAAAATGAAAGGAAGCAACCTGTGTTAAGTTGTCATAACAGATATTTAAAAATCAATTTTAATGTCACAAATCACCTACAAGATGCAAACCAACCTATAACCCAGAATTTCAATCCTCATTTATAGCATAGATCATCCTTGATTAAACCAAGCCAAGTGGAACAACCTAAAAGCTAAAAATACAAGCACATGTGCCTTCAACAATGGTATCTAAAAGTATTTAGAAACACAAATTAAGCACTGCTCACAAGACATCATTCAGAATTTAATATTGGCTTCAAAAACTCACCAATCCAGAAAAAGGAAATTCGAAAATACATCTAAGAGGCACATAGGCACATACAGAGAAAACAATCATTCACGTGTACAAAAAGCAATGAACAAAAGGAAGAACTAGTAACTACACATACAAGCTCATCTGTCTTAAGACTTTCAGAAAAATCCTTAATGCAAGCCTTAATGCGTGCCTCCATCCCTGAATCAAAGAAATCAGTTTCGAAATCTAAGTCGTCAAAAAAAAAAATTTTTTTTTTTTTTTTTGATAAGTAAAGTCGTCAAAAAATGACTCAATCTGCTGCAGGTCTTGGTCTTGTACTGTATCACAAGAGTTCATTGTACTGATATCATCATCATGTGGTGGCAGCAATGGCTGAATATCGGAAGACGTTGCATCAAAATTGTCAAAAAAATGAGTCTATTTGGTGCAAGCCTTCTATTGTACCACAACAGTTGATGTTAGGCATATCAAAGAGTCTTGTAGTCTCATCATAATATGCTGGGAGAGGCTGAAAATCGGAAGACGTTGCAAGCGGAGTCTTTTGTGGAGGAGTACTTGCAGAGGCCTCATCATGATCATACCGCATCTTCTTCTTTTGACTAGGGCTTTCTTCTTTGGATACCTCACCAGCATGCTTTGGTGCTCTCCTCAAAAATTTGGAGTCATCTCTTTTGATCTTACAAATAACATAATCTTGATCATTACCTTCTTCTAGCCCATCCAAACTCACACCGCCCAACGAATACTCATGCATAGTCCAATGACCTCCTGGCATGACCGACCACTCATCTTTCTTGATATTTGCTTCAAAAGCCAACATTTTCTTAGAACCAATAAGTTGTTTATGTTTATTATAAATTTCCTTGGGCTTGTTTTGGCCATTCCAAGTCCCACACCCGGCTCTCCTTACAACTCTCTTCTTATTGCCAATTTTCTTCAACTTGGTAAAGACATAGATAATAAATTGACAATTATTCTTGCTACTCGTATGCCACGGATCTTCCTTTTTTAATATGTCCCACGGAGCTTTGTCGTAAAGATCAATGTCCAATATTATACCCTCAGGCATGCTCTCTCCCTTCACTTTTCTGCTCAGGTAATGGATGATTTCAACTTTTGTGGGGTCGAAGTGAAATCCTAGCGGAATTAAAAACATCACGTGATCGGAAATAGAGGAATTAATTGAAAAAAAAATGGAACACTTCCAATTACAGAAGAAGCAGCAAGAATGGAATCAATAACAGAACTGGCGACAGCAAGGAAGAGCCCACCGGCGAGAAAGTGACAGTGGCAAAGACACCGGCAGTTGATTACGCCAACGAACGATGGCGATTATCAGAGTCGCTATTTCGGCGAGCTTTGTACTCGTTCAGAATAGTAGTGATTACACCTGCGGCAGAGAATAATGATGAGCCCGGAACTGCCGACGATAACAGAGCAAGAGTGGCCGGCTGAATGAAAACGGCGACCTCGAACTTGAACCGGTCAGTGCTTCAAGGCGGCAAAAAGAACAACCCGGGGAGAAGTGGGTCTATTCCGTAGCAGTAATGACCGGCGATGAGCAGCAGGGATGAACCGAGACCAATGAAAATGTTGATCTCGGCTGATTGACGGCACGGTCAGAGGAAACCGGTGATGATTGGCAGTGATGGGTCTGTTATGGAAAGTGGATGGGGTTTGTTGTCTGTTTCCTCTGGAAGACTTGCAAAAACAGAATGGGGCTTGGAAAGCATCAGAGTAAAAGCCAAATTTCTTGAAGGAGCTTACGATACCAGAGTGATTGAGGCAGACAGCTCTGGAATGGAAGGAAATACAGAAGACGGCGATGGAGATTGAGGCGGAATGGAAAGTGGATGCGGCTCTTAAATAGGGTTCCTTTGGAAAACTTGCAAGAAAAGAAAGGGGTTAGATTTCAATATTTACAATTGGTATTCAACTTCTTGGTGAATTGGGAATTTAGGATTACAATTACAAGAAAGGCAACTAATACTACATCTAAATTTGTTAATTAATATACTTATCCTTAAATTGTTAAAATTAGGGATTTAAATTCTAATTACCAATATAATTTGTTTTAACTTGCTAATATGACATATCCTTATTTAATTATTAAATTAAAATTTTTATTAAATGGCTTATTTGATTTTTTTAAATATCTCAACAAATTGTTTGGTTATATATAGGAGTCTGTACGAAATTTGATTTTTCAAATATCACAAAAAAATATGCGCCTGTACCCCGGGGCATTCTAGAGCATTCTAGAATTTTCCGTGATCATCAATGGTGAGGTGAAACTAGAGGCCTTGGGCAAGGAGATTTTCTCTCTGGGATCAATATACTATCACATTTATCTTTCTTTGTGTCTACTAAATTATTTCATTCTGTAAAAAATCTAAATGCCATTTATTTTTTCAACAATTCCTTACAAATCCTTCTGAATAAACTCACTGGATCCCATTAAACATATGATCTGCACTAAACATGAAATATATGTCATTTTGCACTACCTTCTTCTGCATACACACAAAGCTCATAAACAGATAGCAGAAACCAACAGGGAATGGTTATTTATGTGCAAGGGATCCCATGAGAAAATATCTTTATTATACATTCAACAAAGTTACATCACTCCCTAAAAAAGGAGAAACCAGAAGAAAGAAAAAAACACGAAACAAATGAGTATTACTTTGGAATAAGAGGGTAAAAACATGCCATTATATCTGAGGTTTAAACCTCAATTCAGTGAATCTGTCTCCCATATGTCATCAAAACCCAACTAAATATTTTAGTCCAGTTTTCTCGGTAATAAAGGATGAAACAAAAATCCTGTTTTCTCAGTAATAAAGGAGATAAGGAACCACCTAAAAGAAATTGCTGGTATGGATATACTTAGTAACGTAAGAAGTGAAAATGCAATAACCTACGTTATATGTACAAAATTATGCTTGTCGACTGAGGGTATGTTTTTAGCTGCCAGACCAATAAAAACTCAAACCCTACAACATAATAGCATCAAATTTTCAATATTCTATCGAATAACAAACGCCAAAACATGGTGTTAGGTACAGTAACACAGAAGCTTCACCAAATTTGAAAGGCTTACTTTTTGTTATGTTAAAGGATTCGGTGGGTTATGCGCCCGTCTCCAAGGGGTATGATTGAGGCTTGGAGAGGTTGTTCATTGGGTTCCCAAGCCCGCGACTTTTGGAGGGAGGCAGTGGCACCATTGTGTGTTTGGTGGTGCTTGTGGACAGAGCGGAGGGTAGAGCCCTTCAATTACAATTTTACTTCTAGAAAAAAAAAAAAAAAAAAAAAAAAAAAAATTGTTCTCCTCCTTCCCATGGATATATGTGGTATGGAGAGTAGTCAACAATTGGCACACAGAATGCCCAAAAAAATTCCAAATCATGGATAGACTAGATGGGAGGTAAATAGGCCTTCTTTACTTCTTTCTTTAATGGAATATTTTAACTTAGTCAATCACAAAGCTGAATTCAAATCAACTAAAAGAATGAACAAAACATAAAGCAATAAATGCGATAGACACAACTTTTAACATGGAAAACAGAAAAGCAACCCATATGAACTGAAAAAACACAACATTTCTAGTCAGTTATAGAATCCACCTCTGAAACAGCCGTTAATGGCAAGTAGGTTTTCTAAGACATAACATGTTTTTTTGAGAGGTTTGGTAGAGGCATGAGAGGATGTATAGTGGGGACCCAAGTCCATGACTTATGGAGGGTAGCGCCTTTGTGTTGTCTAGTGGTGTCTGTGGCTTGGAAAAAACAGCAGATCCTTTGAAGAAAAGGAGACACCTATTGGGGCACTGAAGTTCTCCATTCTTAATACTCTTTTTTGTGAGGTCTAACGAGAAATTATAAATCCATGGGGTGACAGTTGAATTTTTGGACTATTTGAGGGTCTAGAGGCCCTATTTGGTCTTCTGTAGCTTTTGAGTTTTGAGGGATGCATTCCACTTTTGAGCGTTTTCTATTGCAATCCTAATTATCAAAAAATAAATAAATAAATCAACCCAAAAAAACATATTAAATTCTAGATAGATGGTTCTAAGCCACTCAATAATTTGACAATCCTCAACAAGCTATCAATGTAGCAAAAACACTACTTCACAAAAGTCTCGTGCACCTTTGAAATGCCATGGACATATCCATTATTTACAAACATTTCTTTTAACCAAAATACAAAAATAATAATAATAATAATAAAATAAGAAACCAAAATAAAAAAGGAAAAATTAAAATGAAGACGCATGGCTGCCACAATTGCAATTTTAAAAATTGTAAGGCAAAGTGTACAATAATATAATTATGTCTACAATAAATGCCAAGTACTGCATTTCTGAATTATGCAACTATTGACATAGAAACATAAAAAATAAATAAAAGATTTATCACGATCATAAACAATATATATGTCTATCTATGAAAACATCCTTATACCACTTTGTCCATGCTGTCTACTTGATTACAGTTTTAGATCATGTCACATTCACATATCCATGTCTCTATGTTCATGTAATGCTTCCAAGTCACCACTGTGCTTTTTAGTTCAATGCGATGACGAATGTTATCACAAAAAGCAAATAATTAATGCAAACAGTAGTGCTACTACAACACATCATGAAACTTATGCAGTGTTAGGGAGTTGTATTTTTATATACTTATCTGTATTTATTAGAGATAACTGTCCTTTCATCTTCTAGTTAGGCTTTATATTAAATCTCATCTTTTGTAACTTTATTATTCGGTAATGCAATATATGAAGTTTTTTCTTCTCTCCTTTCCTGTGCAAATTTACAGTAAACTTATAGACCGCACCTGATAGCTCATACCTAAATGAGCTACCGGGTGACTCTTTAGGCCAGGCAATTCGACACCCGTAAATTACATCATCAATAAATTATGCTGCTACAACAAAGGATATGAGGCTCATACATATACCATCTCTTCACCACATGCAATATACTTAATGAGAATCCTATAAAAGCTATATTAATCGTTTGACAGGCAAGGAGATTTCAAGCCTGTTTTTCTTGCTATATAATACTAGAGTATTTCAATCATCTAAAGGCTTCACATCTTCTAACTACAATGTATTTCTTTAAAAAGTAATAAATACGCGATAATGTTTAGCAGAAATCTAACCATATACATTCGATATGCATCCATTTCTTTGCAGACAAAACGAACTAGATTCTGAGTGGCCGAGTTGATCCACTGATCAAGCACATTAGATGACTTTTGAAGAGTACTGTTCAATAGGAACAAATGGTGTAAATCCCTCCATCTCAAGTATTTTTGCATTCTGAACAAGGAACCTGTATGCATTGTAACACGGCAGAAAAACATCCTTGACCTGCATCGACATCATTATCTGGTATTAATACAAGCAATTGGCGATCAACCAAGATAAAAAGGAAAATATAAAAAAGGAGGAGGAATACTAAAAATCAGCAAACAAGATGAAAAGATCAAATCAAACAAAAATCTCAATATGAAAGAAGAAAATAAAACTTTAGAAAATCACTCACAACACCATAAACTCCATCCTTTTCGAAAAAAGGCTCTGCACGAACAACTGGTGAATTAATAAGGTACAGTCGTAACGCATCCTGTATAACAGTATAACAGATAATTAAAATTGTCAGTAGTTTAAAACACAAACAAACGAAAAAGACAAGCAAGATCATGAAATGCAAGAAAACAACCAAAAAGAAGAGAGATTTGAACAAGAATACTCAAACACCAACAAAAGCAGCAGCAATAATATATTACTGAATAGAACACAGAACAGTAACAATAATTAAATGACACGAACAATAAGACTTACAGCCCTGTATTCATTAATGACTTCCATACATCGAGGATAGTTCTTCAATCTTTTACTCATCTTTTTACCATACTCAGCAAGGATAAGCCCATTGCAAATGAGATTCCTAAATGCTGGTTTCCCATATAATGCAGTAGACAAGACCATGAGAGTATAGAACCTGCAGAGAATGTAACACGAAGACTTAGTTTCCACTTTTAGTTTTTGTTCATCCTTCAAGACAACACAAGTTCCTCTAGTGTACGACAAGAGAAAGAGAAAGGACCCCATACCCCAAAACTGTTAAACCATTCATTACTTAACATAAAAAGGTTGCTCCAAAGAACATCCATGAGAAAGAATCAACAAAAGGCTCCAAGAACAATGAGATCAAGATATATGTTCACTATATGCTGGATGGAGACACCAAAAATAATATAGCCCAATTGTGATATATTATAAATTGTGTGTATGTGTATATGTTCAATCCTATTAAACACAGACACACAAACACTTTTTAGTACAATATATAATTCTGAGCAGCGAGGAACAATCTATTTCCTAAATTTACAACTCAACTCGACTAAGCCTCTTTCCAAACTACTTGCCTACAAGAATCCTATTTTCCCATTCCACTCTATCCAACCACATGTTAGCATACCCTTGCAACTCAACCAACGTTAAGTTTGTTCTTCCCCTTCCCCTAGCATATTCCCTCAAAGTGGACCATGTCACTCTTCCTAACTGGTGCACTCAATGGTCTTCTTTGCACATGGCCAAACCATCATAATCAATTTTCTATAATTTTACCTCCAATTAGTGCTAGTCCAACTATCTCACGAATGTGTTCATTTCTAATTCTATCCTTTCTTATCTTTACCCACATCCTTCTCAGCATTCACAATTCTGCCACAATCATGTTATGCATATTTTGTTACTTAGTTGCCAACATTCTGTCCCACAAAGAATAGCTGGTCTAATAACTGTTTTACAGATCATCCCTTTAAATCTTAGAGGGCACGTTGACACACAAAATGTTAGACATACTCAATATTACCCATTGTGCATCCAGTTTTTCTCCTTCGTTAAGAATTATTGAGCCTAAATACCAGAAATGCTCAATTTGTTTGTAACTCATGACCCTTGATCTGCACTACATCTCTATCTATATTTCTAAATTAACTAAAGTTACACTCCATCGTCGTATGCCTACCTTTTCTTAAAATATTTCCAATCGTTTTGGTAGACGGAGACGGAAGTACTAGACCCGATATTGACATCTATAGTGTCAACAATGCAATTTAAAAAACAAAATGTGCAATTGCAAAGTGCAAGCAAAAAACAACTCCTTTAATGCAAAAAAAAGTTGGGGGATATATATAAGAAAACATATATTGCTCCAAATAATAGTTACACGGCTATTTCCACCCAAAATAAATAAAAAAGTTACCGCCATAATGCCATAAAATAACCTTCAATTAATAACAACAAAAAAAGTTCATTCACATATATAATTTTTATTTTTTGATAAATAAAATGTATTAGAAAGCGTTCAAAAGGGTGGTTCACATATATAATCAATACAAATTGCAATATATTAGGTGTGATGCAACACCTTAGTCAAAAATTTCAACAAGCTACCAATGGAAAGCTTTACTTCGCTGAAGCCTAAGGAAGCATTTTCATTTTTTCCTTCCAATTCAATATCGTTATCAGATTGGTACTGGAAGATTTAAGGACGGATTGAATTGCTGCAAGGGCTGCAGTTTCTTCAACGAAGGGCGTGATGGACTAACATTGATGTTTCCTATTCAGGCAGATTCAAGTATACCTATTGCTGGAGAGGATATCACAGCCTTTGTATCCATAAGTTACTACTTAATTAAACTAAATTCAACTCTACAAAATAGTGGGTACAACTTGTTCAAGATGCTCTTTTAGTTTAAATGAAGCTTTAGTTCTTTCCAAATTGCTCAAACTATAAGTAATATGTTTATCTTGGGGGGAACTTTCCTAAACATCTATGACAAAGTTGCTTTCGCCACTTTTGGCTACCATGAACAAAATCAATTGCAAAACCTTAGCAGTTGACATTTGATGCCAAATTTGACTTGCCTATTCCAACTTCCATTTATTCTTTTCCATTTAAGCAAGTTCTTACAAACTTATATATCCTTGTTTTGATAAACCAAAAGATTCCACTCCAACAAATCCTGACAGTTTTGTTTGAAATAGCATCAAGGTACCAAGGTTGTATAAAAATCACAGAATACATAAATAAAAATAAAAAATAAGATGATATTGGACATGTAAACAAAAAAAAAGTGCTATATTGTCCAGGCAACACAACTATGCCGTTGGTGTTCTTTCGATCTCTACACATTTCACTGCTCTACCGGAAATTCCCTCTGCCCCTACCGTACTCCAGCTTGGTAGTTTCCACCGCGTGTCCAAAGTAAACGCCACATACAAAGAACACAAAGATATACGTGGTTCGGCGCAAGCCTACTCCATGGTGAAACAATAAGTACATGATAGACATAGGTGGGAGCCTCATGCACTGAGCTGGCCCTTTTATATCAAGCCATTATTAGGTAAAACAATAAGTACATGACAAACATAGGCCCCCATAAAAATGCTACAATTTGTTAAGAGTGGCAAAACCTGGATTAATTGTTGAACTCAGTTCAATGACATAAGAAGTAGGCTTGTCCTGTTACCAACTTGAGTCTTGGTCAAGCTCAATGCAAAAATCTTATGATCCACAAGGGCCAACAATGAAGAAATGTAACTCAGTAGCGAAGGAAAAAAAAAAAACAAAACAAACAAAAAAAACCTCAATGGGTGGGTCCATCTTTTCCACATTGAATTTTTCATCACATAAAAAAGGCCCAATAGAACCCTTCCAATCCTTCATCGAAAAACCAAGAAGATAAGAATGTTGGAGAACAAAAGCTTTGAAAACCAAAATAATAATATGCTATGGAGGAGCCAACCTCACAACAACTGCCCTCACCCATTTTTGAAGCAACTCCCTTCCGAGAGGAAGGGGAAGCAGAAACAAAAAAATAAAATAAAGTAATGACTCTACTTGAGACTAATTTAGTAGAGTCATGGTTATACCAAAACATCATGATTATACCAAAACATCTTTTTGTCAGGTCTCCACCAACAATACCAGCCAACAATCCATCAATGCGACATGATATCGATAGTTGCATGCCATGTTATCCTATTTGGTCCAAAAAATTGCTTCTAAATAGACTGCTAAAAAAAAAAAAGGGAAGGAAAAAAAAGGTAGTCAAAAGAGCATGCATGTGATGCCAATGGAAGATAATCGACATGCAAAATGAGGTAAATATTGCAAAAAGATCAACATAACTGTGCACTGATGTTATCTTTCATTTTTTATCTAACAATCTGTTGAGACAATATTTTATGTTTTCTTCAAGTCAGATTATTGTTGCTTCAGATTCATTAATATTTGTCCATGTTATTAGACTTTTTAGACGTGTAGTGACCGTGGGATTTAATTTGTCAGTAGATTGGTTATCTAGTTGTGATCTTAGTAGTTCGAAGATGGGTCTTACCAGTGAAATTTTGTACTTAATAAAATTGGAGTCCAGAACCTGCTAGAATACGGAGTGGTTAAAGCCTATAGACTGCTATGTGATTCTCTTAAATCCAGTGTAGCACTTAAAAGCTCTTGGGATAGGGTGAATCTGCAATGCTTGAGGAAATCCTGCTAGAATAAGTAGTAGTTAATGCATATAGACTTCTACATAATTCCGTCAATCCAATGTAGCACTTAAAAGCTCTTGGGATAGAGTGAACTTGTAATGTTTGAGGAAATCAAGATGGGACACAAGCTTCTTCTACTTCTCGGTTTTAACTTTCTGCACTTTTTGAGCCTTCAAAAACGCAGACAATATCTTAATTTGTATTCAGCCCTTGAAAATCCCACTCGACAAGCCCTACTCCTTACCTGTTTCAGTCCTTCAACCCAAGCACCTTAGAACTCCAACCAAGCCCCTATTTATGGTTCACAGGTACAGTTCACAGTTCTGTAACTTCCCCAAAACTCTTCTTGTCTTTCTTCAATTTATCATAAACCCAAAAGATGCAGCTCTCCTTCAACCATTATGAAACCCTCTAGCTCCATAATTTTATGGACTTTTATGGTTATACCTACATACAAACTGATTAATTTGACCATACAATTCCTATTTAGAACAGTCTCACATCAATTTTTGTATCCGAGCTCATAGAGAAGTGTTTTAACACACTTGCCCTGCATCAAAGTTTCACATATGGATGATTCGTTGTCAAATGGAGATGAGACAACGGGAGTGGGTTCTGGTTATCCGAGACCACATTGGAGCTTTCGTAAAAGCAACCAAGAGAGTGTTCAACATTTAGCAGGCAATGGAGAAGCTTATAAGACAAGGACGAGTATAAAATCAGATATACATTTGGTAGTTGAAATACAGTTCAAGGAGATCCTCTGAAAAGGCTTCAAAATCCCTTACTCGAGAAATTCCTCTATCATGTCCTCTCACTAAACACATCCATATTGTGGGGAGCATTTTCCTATAAGGGTTATAAGGCAGTGCATTTCATCTAGTGCATCCTCATGTTAATGCTAGGAAAGATGTAAAAAGGTTGGATGGAAGAAATGCCTCTCTCCTTCTCAATCTCTTTCATATCCGTTGGACTTAGAGGCTTGAATCCCAACAAGAGTATAAAGCATCAGCCCACTTTCACACACTCCCTTATTGGAGCTGCTTTGCTACTCTCTCTCGTGTTTCCAATTCTCTAATTTTATTTTTCCTAGTTGGTACTCACACACACTTGTTTCTTCTGAGACTTGAACCCCTGATCTCCCTTTAGGAAGTAAGAGACTGATACCGCTAGGCGACTGGCCCATTGGTTCTAATTCTCTATTTATATTTTTATCAATTAATCAACCTGAAAAACTAACCTTGGCTACAGTCATCATGAGAGTATAAAATTTAATCATTAGTTTGCTCCGTGAAACTTTCAAGTACCACAACTCTGCAACTAGAATGACGGCATTGCATAATGGACCAACAATAACATCAATCTTAATCACAAAAAGGCTACACATAAGAGTATAGAGAACTAACCTTCAGAGCTTTCCTACGGTATATCATGATGCCTCCATATACTAATGCCAATAGCACATAATTTTAGAAAAGACTGAAGTTGGAGCATTAATTCCAGAGACACACAAATATATATATATATATATATATATAGGATCAAATTAAAATAGACTGCCAAACACCCAAATGGCAGAAAAAATAAATAAGATCCAGTAGAAAATAAGGAAAATTGGGTTGAGAGTTTTAGATATTAATATGTTAACCATTTACAATACTCCGTCATAATAAAAGCAGGGACAGACCTACAATGTGCCGAGTGGGGGGACAGGCCTATAATTTTATAAAATCTTAAAAATGCCCCCACTAAATTATAACAAAACACCTCTACATATACCAGCCCCACTAGATTTTTGGGGCCCTAATCGACTCTCTCTAACTCTCCCTCGTTTTCTTGTTCTCTGTCCCCATCCACCGTCTCTCTTTTTCACAAACTAGTGAAGATTGACCAATTCTACCAAGAACCACAGTTTTCAAGGTCTTTACCTTTGTTTCCTCTACCGAATATTCTCTCTGTATATCTATATACATGTACTTATATAAGATAAATTTGATAATATTGAAATTCATTTATTTGATTTTTATGGTTCAAAATTGTGCAATTAAGTTGATTCTACTCAATAAAATATTTTTTTCTTTATTATGTTAGTTTGAAATATATATATATATATTGTTGTTCAATGCAGCCCTCGTAATTTTCTAGGTCTATCACTGAATAAAAGTAACCCAAAAATGAAAAACCAACAATGGAATGCCATTGCAAGATGGGAAAAAAAAGTGAGTTTTTTAATAGTAAAATGAGAATAACCAGAAAAATTATATATATGTAATACAATGTTCTCAATTGCAGATAAAATAAGTCTAACAAAAATAACATGAAATAGGAAAAAAAATCACATGATTAAAGAGAAACATACCTGTTGAAAAAAGAGAAACATACGTTTTCTGGCTAATTCAGAAGATGAAAAGCCTGTTAAAGTGATTAGAAGATAAAAGTAACATCCCCAAACCAAGACTGACAAAATGTCTTCTTGGTCCATAATTCCTTAAAATTCATCATAAAATTTCAGTCTCTCTCTAAAATTTGAACAAAACTAATTAATACCCAATTCAAATAATAGCACCAAACACTCAGAAACCCAATCACAGAACACCCATCATTGTCCAAGTTCTCAATCTTCCACAAATCGTATCAGAGTCGTAAAAACTGAAGACCCACTATAGATTTATGTAAAAGGGTATACACGAATAAAAATGAAAGCGACAATGAAAAGGAGAGTTAAATCTGACACCCTCAGTGAAAATCAATGGCTATGAGGAGTTCCCAGATTCTCTAGGGTTGTGTGGGCATTCTCAATCCGTTGAAATTTGAAAGTGGATAACATAAACTATATTATTCGTAGCTTTTGTCTCATTGCGTTTTGACCTTTTGATTTATTGCGTTTTGTCCCTTTTATTTTTAACAAAAGCATGGTTTTGACCTAAATTGATTAATTAATAGTTTGAAAGATTCCAATGTTAATTTGACTCTTCACAAAAAGCCAAGTGGAATAATGGATGCGACCGTACTTGTGGAATGAGAACCATGCTTTTTAACAAAAGCATGGTTTTGACCTAAATTGTTTAATTAATAATTTAAAAGATTCCAATGTTAGTAAGAGTGATTTATTGGACTTGTATAAGAAGTTTCACTTAGACAAATCAAATAAAACTCATTCTATATTTAATTAGCGTGAACAGTAAGAAATTATTTGTTCTCAAAAAAAAATGTCGACCCTAAAGGTTGTGTGTGCGTTCTCAATCCGTTGAAATTGGAGAGTGAATGACATAAACTATATTACTCTTTGTAACTTTTGTTTCAGCTATTGGGTAGTCAGATGACAGCAACAATTAAAAGAGTACAAATATTCTGTGTGTACATAGTGCGTATGTATTTGTGTGTGTTGCATATTTTATTAGGTTTACAAGGGGAGATAACTGGGGGTGGGCAAATAAGTTAAATTCACGAACTCGATTGGATTCGGTTTGATTTATGTGGATCGGATCGAATTGCTATACCCATAAATTAACGACAAATTAAAAAAAAAAATGAATCTGTAACACACGAATTGAACCACGGATTGAACGGTTAAATAATCCGATCCGATATGCGAGTCCGATTCATGAAATTTATATTTATATTCAAAGAATATATTAGTTAATTTAATTAATTGATGATTAATGAACTCTAATAATGTAATAGTTAATGATTATTTAAATATATTAATTAATGGTTTTATCTATTGGGTTATGGATAAATAAATAAATAATATTGGACTAATTAGGAAAACTCCAAGTCGAGGATCCAATCATTTAACGGATCTAATCTTGATCCGATCCAAGCCATCATTTAATAGATCTATTCTGATCCGATTAGATAACGGATCGGTGAAGAATTCAGATTTTTTCAATCTGTTGAAAATGAATCAGATTAGGATTGATGCCTAATAAAAACACTTCTAATAAAAACACTTCTAACTTTGATAACTTATATACAAGATGCTATATAATAAGTTCTTGATTTTAGCCAATTACTTACAACTCACACATATCATTAATATTCATTTATTTTTTAGAAGTATTGTAAGAATCGAATTTAGAATGTCCACTCACTACAGAAAATATTTATTCATTTTTGTTTCGTGATATGAATGTATTTTTTCTTATTCCAAGCAGGGATTAATTGTGTTTTGACTAATAGTTTTTGTTTGACTAAAAGTTTAAAAAAAAAAATAGAATTACTCTAAATAAAAATATAATTTAAATTTATTTGGCAACAGGTATGATGATTGGTAAGATTTTAAAGATTAGAAGATAAAAAATTACAAATTATGCCTAGCCATGTCTGATACCTGTCTTCCGTATGTTTCAGTCATGTCTACCCATTGTCTCAATTGTGTTCACCCCGTGTCCAATAAAAAATAATTTCTGGCACAGAAGTGTCGGACACGTGTCCGACATTGGTACGAGACTCTTACAAGGGTGTCCGTACTTTATAGAAAACCAAACAACAGTCAAATTTAATCATAATTGGGTGAAAAATGGTCCCACTAAAAAATGTGATAAAGTGCTTTAGGGCAACTGCAATTAATAAAAAGTGGATCAAAGATTATGTCCCAACACACTCAATTAATAAAAAGTATAATGAATAGTTTCCTAACTTTATGGAGGAAAAGAAAAGAAGAAGAAGAAGAATTGGGATCCCTCCTTTTAATAAATATAGTGAAAAAGTGATATATGATATTAAAAAGGGTAAATGGTAAGGAAAAAAAAAATTATTACATATCGAATGTGCAAATATTGCAGTGTTTAAATAATAAATCCTACATTTTTAATATTGAACAAATATGGACATTATGTTAATTTAGAGATTGAAATACCTAAAACACTCTTTAAACAAATATATATATATATAACACTGATTTTAGGAAGTGAGAGAAGATTAAGGGTTTTTCTTATAACATATTTTTTACACATTTTTTTATATAATACTCCATAGTTTGTTTTTTTTCTTTCCACATTACTCGATTAAAAATATAAAAATCATTGTCAACACTCTCAATTAATAAAAAGCATGATAAATAGTTTCCAACTTTATGAAAGAAAAAGAAAAAGAAAAAGAAATAAAAATTATTTATTATGCTCAAAAAGATAAAGGAAACTCAAGTTATCCAACTAATAAAAATTTTCGCGTGTTTTATGCAGAAATCGTTTTAAAGAAAATTAGCTACTTGCGAGGATTCAGTTTCCTGAAATTGTTCCTATTATACCCATAATTTCAGGAAACTGAATCCTCGCAAGTAGCTAATTTTCTTTAAAACGATTCTTGCATAAAACATGCAAAAATTTTTATTTCTCGGGAAAGTTGTTAAGTTATATTTTAAATTCCTATTATACCCATAATTATCAGTTGGATAACTTGGGTTTCCTTTATCTTTTAGTCCCTTTTTGATAGATATTTTTTTTTTTCTAAACGCAAATGAAATAGTGAAATTGGAGAGATCTTATTTTTAGCAATTTTTTTTAAAATCTATTTTTATTGCTTTGTTCTTTTTTTTCCCTTTTTTTTTTCCTCTGTTTTTTTTCCCCTTCCAAATACATATATACATGTAACATATTATGGTGGATATTTTTTAAGTGTATTATATTAATTTTCAATATGTATATATACATATTAACTAGGTTTTAGAATTTTGATACTAGAGTTATTATAAATTTTTGGAAATATATACATTCCATAAAAAGAATAATACAAAATATTTTATAATTATATAATTCTAGTTGAATTCAAAAAGAAAACTCTCATAAACTTAGTTGTTATGTGTAAAATTCTATTGGTTTTAGTTATAATAGAAATTGTTCCTATTATACCCATAATTTCAGGAAACTGAATCCTCGCAAGTAGCTAATTTTCTTTAAAACGATTCCTGCATAAAACATGCAAAAATTTTTATTTCTCGGGAAAGTTGTTAAGTTATATTTTAAATTCCTATTATACCCATAATTATCAGTTGGATAACTTGGGTTTCCTTTATCTTTTAGTCCCTTTTTGATAGATATTTTTTTTTTTCTAAACGCAAATGAAATCGTGAAATTGGAGAGATCTTATTTTTAGCAATTTTTTTTAAAATCTATTTTTATTGCTTTGTTCTTTTTTTTCCCTTTTTTTTTTCCTCTGTTTTTTTTCCCCTTCCAAATACATATATACATGTAACATATTATGGTGGATATTTTTTAAGTGTATTATATTAATTTTCAATATGTATATATACATATTAACTAGGTTTTAGAATTTTGATACTAGAGTTATTATAAATTTTTGGAAATATATACATTCCATAAAAAGAATAATACAAAATATTTTATAATTATATAATTCTAGTTGAATTCAAAAAGAAAACTCTCATAAACTTAGTTGTTATGTGTAAAATTCTATTGGTTTTAGTTATTTTATTATATACAAACAAACATTTAGTGGAACAATTCTAATTTTATTCGATTTCTTCAAAATCCTTACAATTACTATATAAATTGTAAGGTCAAAATCATATATATATATATATAAATATTTTTGAATAAAGAAATTTCAGTGAATTGGTGTCTCACACAAGTTCAAAATATTATTATTAACAACAAAATTTGATGCATAAATTAATTTTACTCAAATTTATTTATATTTTTAATATTTAAAATTATAAGGACAATTTTGACAAGTACAATCATTTTTTTTTTCAAAATTCTACTATCCAAACTAACAACATAATATTTGTAAAATTTTCATCCTAACCATTAGTGAAAGTGATGTATGGGAGGAAAGTAAAGAGTGAGGATTCAATTTCATTTATACAGATGAGAACTTCCGAAAATATATCGTGAGAGTAAAACTACAGAAAATGGCAATCTCTTCCTCTCTTACCTCTCCCTCCAAAACTCTTAAAAATATTCCAACGAAAACTCCAATCTTCAGCGTTCGTAATACTCATTCCCATGCTCACCCCAAGTTTACCCCCAATCGGAAACCTCCACCACTCCTGCTCTCTTTACCATTTACAAAACCAAACCCAATCTCCAATTTAAACCCCGACGGAACACAGTCCGATCACTCTTCACCGGCATCGTCGAAGAAATGGGTGAAATCAAGGAACTGGTTTTGGCCGATGACGGCGGATTCACCATGAAAATCCACGCAAAAACCGTTCTTGAAGACGTCAATCTCGGCGACAGCATAGCTGTTAACGTTTGACACCCAATTGTCCCATTTCACCGTCGGCTTATCTCCCGAAACCCTAAGAAAAACGTCGCTAATTGAAGCCTTGGACGCGAATGGGTGGTCATTTTGTGCAGGGACATGTTGATGGGACTGGTGAGATTGTGGAGGCAGAGCCAGAAGGGGATTCATTGTGGGTGAAGGTTAAAACGTCGTCGGATTTGTTGAAGTATATAGGGTTCATTGCTGTGGATGGGACTAATTTGACTGTGGTGAAAGTGTTTGATGAAGAAGAGTCTTTTACTTTTATGTTGGTGTCTTATACTCAGCAGAAGGTGGTGATTCCATTGAAGAAAGTTGGGCGGAAGGTGAATCTGGAGGTGAATATACTTGGCAAGTATGTGGAGAGACTTCTCAATAGTGGGTTTGTCAATGCTATCAAATCTTCATGATCTGAAGTACAAAGAATGTGGTTTAATATTGTGTCCTTCTCAAAATGGATGTATTTCTGTTTGATGTACTTTGTGAGGTTGTCTCGCTACACTTCAAATTATGGCTACACTTGAACCAACCAATTATATCAATGAAATCTCTTCTAATGGAAAATTGGTAATTGCATTTCTTTGATGTTTGCAGCCTTGAATTAGTTAGCCTTCACCCAAACAGAAGAAATGAATTTAAAGAATGAAAAAGAACAAGGAAATGTATCGTATTCCTTCTCATATTCCTCTTTTGGTGGCTGCACTCATTCTGATTTCTAATAGTTGCATACTGACAAATCTAAAAGGAATTGTTGCTTTACATTAAATTTAGAATTCACTTCCTCACTTTTTTTTTTTTCTTTTTCTTCATTTATTTTGCTTTAATTATATTATTCGTCTTGCTGGCCTAAGATTAAAATCGCAAACAATATAAGTACGAAGTTATTAAGTTTATAGGGTTTCAGTAGTAAACTAACTCATGAAGGGTTTTGTTCATATATGAAGGGTCGCGAGCATTTAACACTCCTGTAGTATGCATATAGGGCATATAACCAACCCCCTATAGGTTTTGAAAACTCCCTAAAGCTCACTCCTGAATTCACTCTGGAACTAAAGAAAGGGTGGTCGTCGATCAGATTGTGCCTGTTGCTCCTACTGAACTACAAAGCCTTATCTGCTGTGAAGTCTTGGACATCTCAGGGATGATATTTCAACTTTCAGCAAGACTTGTTTGTTTTGTTTAACACTCAGTGATGTATGTTTTATTTTATTTTGACCACCCTTATCTGTTAGGTTTGGGTCTGATTCTATCTTTGTAAGTATAGGGGCCTGCTTCCTCGGCCTCTACTAAACCACTCAAAGGATCTGGGAGTCGCCTTACTTCCAAATTGGCCTCTTTTTTGTATTCAGAGCTTCAAATGCCCAATCTCGAATCCCATTTAGGCATTTTTTCAAACACAATGTGGATTCAACATTGGTTCTCTGAAACTGGGATAATTTAATCTCATGGGCAGCACACACCATTGGAAGGGGATGAACTACAGCAAATCCATTTGAAAATTATCTATTTCAGCACCCATTTACTGGCATTTTAAATGAGCAGAACAGAAAGAGTGTGTCAAGGTAGAAGTCGACCCCAAATTGAGCATAATTCATGCACAAACAAAGGTTGCTTCTTCTAACACAAAAGAAGTGCCTAAAGTCGAAACGAGCTTGCACAGCATGGGATCTACTTCCTTCTTTCTTCACTCCATCACTTCCTCCTCTTGGAGGACTCAGAACTAGAAACTGGTTGCTGAATATAGCCGTTGAAACCTTTATTTTGGAGAATCCCTTTAAGACTACACATGTCGAGTATTAATCAAATTATAGGTTGTGCTAAGAGACCCAATACCATTGTCGACCTTGGGAAAAGAAAAAGAAAAAAAAGCACTACATTAACATGCATCCACCAAACTAAATTATATATATATATAAAAAATCGAGTCGAACTAAATCGGTCATGTACAGTTTATTTGGTTTCACTAGTTCTAATGATTTGGTTCATTCTAATATTTCTTAAATCGTTGAGACAAGTTTGGTTTTGGATCACCTTAAAATTCAACGAAATTTAAATGTCCAACTGAATTTTTTTTTTTTAGTAATTCTCTTATGAAAGCCCTTTCATGAATCACGACAATAGGAATGAGCTCTTTTTATTTAAAGACTAGATTGATACAATTAAAACTTAAGATTTGTATCATGAAAGGAAATACTGCACCATTTATTCCAATTTTGATCCCATATTTCTCAAACTTTAGCTGGCCCACTTACTCTCTCTCTAAAAATAAAAAAAAAAATAAAAAAAGAAGAGAGAAGCGTGGCCTGCAATGCTGCTGCCACGTGTTTTGTGATAAAAACACCAAATTTCATTCCATGTTTCTCATTTTTCATTTTTTTATAAGAAAAAGTAGGCCGCCTTCTTTTCTTATCATGCGAACTGGGACACGTGATTTATTTGATTAATAAAGTTCTTTATGTTTAATTTATTCTCGTCAAGATTAATTTGTTATGATTATTTATTTTTAAAGATGAGTTTCTTGAGTTCAAGGGAGGTAAATACAATAAATCTTAAAACGTTTAAAATTTACAATAAAATTTTTCAAATATCAATTCCACTTCAATAATTGTAATGAATCGAACTTGTTTTTATTTTCCTTTTCTCATAAATAAAAAGAATTTCCAAGCATTCAAGAAAAAAAGTACCAAGTGAAACAAGAAAGAAATGAACTACTACTACTACCAACCATAAGCAACACAAACTATAGAGCAAACACACATAATTAAACACATATACAAGTAATCCTTAAAGGCAGTATTGCTATGTGCAAGACTTTTCAACTGAGTCACAGGATCGTTCTCACCATTATCCATTAGGCTTAACAATGACCTCTGTTTTGGGGTGAGTTGGATAGCAAATTAATAAAGCTTAACAATGACCTCTGTTTTGGGGTGAGTTGGATAGCGAATTAATAAAGTCATGCATTCTATTGAGTCGTGTAGGAGTTCAAGTTCGAAACCAAAAAAAAAAAAATTAATAATAATAATAATAATAATAATTACCTCTCTCTCACCACCAAGACCAAGTGTTATTTTCTCTTTGAGGCATCAAGTGTTTCAAGTTTCAAAAAAACAGAAAACCATATCCAAACACCACTTGCCGAGACGAGAAGTGTACATGGGCTTACAACGTAAGTGTTGTTAGTTGTTACTTTATAAACTCTTACAACGGAAAAAAGATACATCATTTGAATTCCGAAGACTTTTAGAATGAAAAAAAATACATTCTTTGAATTCGGAAGATGAATTCCTCTTAATATAAGTCTCTCACATTCCTCTCGATTGGCAAGTAGGGCCCATACCCCCTCTCACATTCCTCCCAGCCGGCATCCTCCGAATTGGAAGGATGCATCATGACTCCTTAGAATAATAAGGTATAGTATTAGTGGTCTTAGTGACAACTGACAAGTTCGAAAAATGAAAATGTCTTTTTTTTTTTTTCATAGGTAGCCACCTCTTTTGACTTATTTTGAAAACTGAATTATCTATTAGTGCTAATATATATTTATCATAAAAATACAAGCAGGTTCTTATTATTTGGAAAAGTAAATATTTTTTTCTCAATCCAAACCATGCAAGGTCTGTTTTACCAAAATTAAGAATAAATTTTCATATAGTAATGAAATTAAAAATTCCTGCATGGAATTGGAACTTTGAATTTGAAATTGGTAAAATTTAAGAAAAATAATTAAAAAAATTGAATTAAATTTTTCTCAAATTTCATCAATTCTAATTTCAATGCTCCAATTTTATGTAGCCGATCACACCCTAACTAGCACCAATTATTGTTTTATGGAAGAAAAAATTTAAATAATGTATGACATGCCATTATCAGTTCTCTAACATTAGAAGTTTCGTTTACTTTCTTGCAACAGTTTGCCGTATTTGAAAACAATGAACAATTTGAAGACTCCTACCCATAAATTATACCCCTATTTGTACACACGTGTTCAATGAGAATAACAAAAAATTTCAACTAATCCAAATTTCAACAAAAAATTTCAACTAATCCAAATTTATTTGCACCTAATCCAAATTTATTTTTTTGCAACATTAATTGCATAATTTTGTTTCGGTCCTGGTAGGATTCCAATCCGGTTTTGACTTCATTATTGGGCATTGTGTGGGTTTCCATTGGGGTTTAGAGGCAGCTCCCAGGGGAAACCCGTTTTTTTTTGGGGTCTTGGACATGGAATCTAATCTTTTATTGTAACCCTATATATAAAGGTGATGTGGGATATATAGATATAGAAAGAATACTGAAAACCGAAATAAATAGTGAGAGAGAAATTATTGGAGGTTTGACATATGACAACTTTATAATCTTTACTTCTTTCACGTTGTGAGAACACTATCGATTTTCACTTCAATTGCGTGGCGTATACATGCTCATTTCTTTCCAAGTCCAAGGTCCATGTTACAGTGGTCAATTTATAAATCTACTTGTGTCGTGCAAGCCAACAAGTGCACATTCATAAGCCCACGGGATGGATAAAAACTCAAACCCTCATTATGATCATCACAGTGATATCGGAATTCAAGTCACATAGAACGGTAACGAAAGTGAATGTGAGAGTGGGAGTGCGAAAACGGCAAAATTAAGTCGCACAAAAGAGCTGAAACGCGCAAGAACGACAAAATTGAAATCAGACAAAACGGAACTAAAGTAAAAACGCGCACGAAACGCAAGAGCGGGAAAGCGCAACACCCGTTTAGAAAAATTATGTGACTCGGATCAAGATGCTGCAACTTGATTCATGATGGGACCATGGAAAAAAAGTTTAGAAACACCCTACTTCACCACAAACACTGCAAAACTAAGAGCACAATCAAGAGATTACTTAAAAAAAAACCCATCAACCATGCATCGCACACTATGCATGGATTTAGGTAGTTCGGCATATGGCCTATGTATAGGGTGAGGTTCGGCAAAGGGTTTTCACTTTGCAAAGAAAAACGAAAATTACAAGTTCTCAATCCCCAACCCCTATCTCTAAGATTACAAGTTCTCAATCTCCCAAACCCCTCTCTCTCTCTCTCACTGTTCAGTTTTGAGTGTTTTCTCTCACCCACACCACAAGCCCTAACATCCTTATATACTGGATTACAACAGTGATTAGATTATGGGTCCACCGGCAAAGCAAAACGGGACAAACCCCTTTTTTTTTTTCCATTAATCGGGTCATTGTGACCCAACCAGAAACAAAAATTCTAACCACAACATTACACCTTGGTTGTTGATCATCCAATTAAAGTTGTTGCTTCAACAAATGCAGAGGACTCCAAGTAGCTGATGAAGCTCCAATGGAGAATCTCTTATCACTGCATACAAATTAACAGCTGATGTTGAAATACACAGCAATATCAAACACTGACTACCAACAAAATTGAAGAAGATGAAGAAGAAATAAATTTAGCAATATCAAACACCGACTATGAACAAAATTGAAGAAGAAATAAATTTATTTATGCTATAAGCTTATTATCATTGTACTGGATACAATAATCATAGTTGCATATAATTAGCCTCAGTGAGTTATGTCAGACTAATTTGGGGCATTTGGTTAAATCTCAGACCTGCAACATTCTCTTCTTCTTTTTCCTCTTCTTATTATTATTCAAGGCGGACCCATCATTGACAGATCGAATCATGTCCATCTCCAGGTCAAGAATCGAAGGATCTCTCATCCTTTGAACACCGATCGTACAAAGGATCAGACGGAGCACGAAATCCCCCATGGTGAAGAATATGTCCATTCATTTTCTTCAGATGATGAATTTGGAGTTTTAGATTGCTTTTAATTGCACAATCTAACAGTACATGCCACAGCCTGTGCCCAGAATTTGAGTCTTGCTTTCACATCTTCGGGATGATCTCCTGAATTTAAAAGAGAAGTAATTGAAAAGTTAGAACCAAACATTCCAAGCTACTTTAACTCCAAATTAAACAGATTTAACCAAGAATTTTACATCACAAAGGCCGGAAAGCTGCAAATCAAGTTAGATTTCAACTTAATTGCAAATAAACAACTTCAAGAAACATGTTCAGGGCTAAGGAACCAACTAAATGTAAAAATTTACAAATATAAATTTAATGCTCATCGCAAATAAATATCACAAGCAGGTCTATGATAAAGAAACCAACATGATTCAACAAATTCTCGAAGTACATTCTCATTTTCGCCCGCTAACAATCGCAAAAGGCCACCATAGTCAAATATCAATGGAGAATTAACTTTGTTATTTAAGTTTTAGGTGTTTATTTAAGTCTAAATGAATTCTCCTACAAATTTATGAGCTAAAATCATGAATAAAACCTTTTGGAAGCCCAAAACAATCCATCTTTCTCAAGATGAATTGTAAGTAAATTATTTGAAGATTATAGTAGATGAAATAAGCAAAGGAAAAACCAGAATTCACTTATGAAATGAACAAGTTTATTATGATCTTCAAAACACCAGGTGAAAACCAGATCTCAATGAGGAAATTTAAAATTTACCCAAAAAAGCAACAAAATAAATAAATAAAACTCCTATAAAACACCTAAACAAAACATATCATTATCAAAAGCAAAAACTAATAAAGAATCCTATTCATGATTTCATCAACAGACCAAAATTTACTACAAAATTCTAACAGTTATTACTCTTTTATACCCTGAACAGAACACACACATCACAATAAATGACAAATAACACTTCAGAAAACAACCAAATCAGATCATTCCACAATCAAAACATAAACTTGTTCCCAAATCAAAAGCCCATATCATAAATTCATCAACATTATATCATAACCAGACCAAAATCAAAAGAAAAACCAAAACATTCCTCAATTATATAATTATAAAAATTTAAAATTTTTTCGCAAGGAAATTAAAATTATCCCAAATCACTCACCAGGACTAGAGATCTTCCAATTGGCAATGGGAGTTTCGGAGGTGACAGAAGCCGACGGCGAGGCCTCGGGTGACTTCTGCTGCTCATCAAGAAACTTCTGGCTCATGGAGTAGCAGAGCTCAAGAGCAGGCAAAGTGTTGCAGAGCTCAGGAATCTCCTCATAGCTGAATCCAAAACCCAGGTCCAAACACCCCTTGAGCTCGTCCAAATCTTCGTCTGTCAAGCTCTTGGTCCTCAATAGATCGTCTTCCTCAGGTGTCTCCACATACCCTTCAAGGAACACTTGGTTTTTCTTCTTCTTGGTCTTGTTTCTGAGCCATGGGTCTTCATTCTGGAGCAACCCAGTTGATGGGTTGTCCATTGTTTGCCCGCTAGATTCTTGGGTTTCAGGATCTGGGTATGGATCCATGGAGCTTCCACGAAGATTAGATCTTGTTTCAGGTGAGAAGCTCCCCATCTCTCTCTCTCTCTTTTTGTCCCTCAAAAGTGTTTTATTGCGAGTGGGGGAGCTTCCTTTTATAAGAAGGGTGTATTTAATGGATGTGTTTTGTTGTGCGATGGGTTGATGATGGATGGATGTTGAAGTATGTACATGCATGTATATGTATATAATTTTGTATGTGACATTATGATGTGGGAAGGCAGCTGTGCAGGAAGGGTGATGATGATGATTGAATCAAAAGAGGACACGTGGTTGTCTGAGTCACCACCGATTGTGGAAGACACCTACTGTATGAATGTGAGGTCCACCAATTGGGAGTCAAGATACAACTTACAAGTTGAAAATGGTTACTCCTACTAATTGTTTTTATTATTATTATTATTATTTCAGTGGAAAAAGATTTTTTTTTTTTAGGATTAACTGTAATGACATTTTCTGAGATTTGCTATAATAATAGTCATATGCAAGTTAAGCCAATGACACCCCTGGTCAAAAATTGAATCCAAATAGCCTTTTAAAAAAGGTGAAAAGTCAAGATTGTCCTTCAATATTTTATTAAATTAAAATGTAAAATATCAAAACTCTTAAATGGCAATTTTGCCCTTATAACCCATAGTACACCTCACCACACACTCTGTCTCCCCTCTCCTCTCACCTCTCACCTCATCCATTAGAAACGGAATCCCTGAAAGTCATGATAGAGTTTCTGATTCATATAGAAGTGGTAATTCCAAAATAGAAAGAATCTAAATGAAACCTACAATCTCATTTATTTTCTCTATTATTGGTTTAACATTCATACCCATTCCAAATTAAGGCAGCAAATCTCTAGCGAATTAAGGCAGATTCTGTAACGACCCACTCCACCACATGGTATGATATTGTCCGCTTTGGGCTTGAGCCCGCACGGTTTTACTCTTGGACTTCACCCCAAAAGGCCTCATACCAATTGGAAGTGACACACTTACATATAAGCACTTCACCTTTCCTCTACCCAGGCGATGTGGGACTGTGCACCCGTAGCTCGCCAGTGTGGTAGCCTGACAGTGTCTCTCGCACCCGCCCATGGCACACTCGCCCACAAGGTCATCACAATCCACCGCCCTTGGAGGCCCGACGTCCTCGTCGGCACACTTCCGGCTGGGTCAGGCTCTGATACCATTTGTAACATGATTGATTAAACAAATAAACCATTAAGCAATTAATTAAACCAAATAATGCACATACAACCAATTTAAACAAATGAAAAATAATAAAATAAATAAAAATGCGATTAAGACAATAAAATAAAGAAAAATGCAATACAATAAATATTAAAAATGCCGAGACTATCCTTTTAAGAAATTAGGGGTATTACATTCTTCCCCCCTAACAAAAGGAATTCCGTCCTCGGAATTCGCTGTTACCTTCTTCCAATATTTCAGGAAACTGCGAGCGAATGACATCCTCCCGTTCCCAAGTGGACTCAGCCTCATTGTGATGACTCCACTGCACACGAACCAAAGGGATAACCTTATTGCGAAGGATTTGATCCCGACTGTCAACAATACAACATGGTGGCTCCAAATAAGTTGCATCCGGCTGTAACTCAATCTCCCCAACATCGATATGCTGATACCGATCCTCATCTCGCAGAAATTTCCGCAACATGAACACATGGAATACGTTGTGTACGCAGTCCAAATTATCCGGCAGCGCCAACCGATAAGCAACAGCTCCAACTCGATCCGTAATCATGAATGGACCGACAAACCGCGGAGACAACTTCCCTTTCTTCCCAAAGCGCATAACACCCTTCATAGGAGATACCTTGAGAAGAACCTGATCCCCAACCCGAAACTCCAAAGCACGAGTGCGACGATCAGCATAGCTCTTCTGCCTACTTTGGGCAGTACGCATGCGATTTCGAATAAGAGCAATCTTTTCAGAGGTATCCTTGATGAACTCAGGACCTAAGAATCGATTCTCTCCAACCTCCATCCAACAAACAGGTGATCGACACGGTCGACCGTATAACGCCTCAAAAGGTGCCATCCCAATAGTTTTTTGGAAACTATTGTTATAAGCAAACTCCACAAGTGGCAAATATTCCTCCCAATGGCCCTTGAAATCCAGAACACACAACCGAAGCATATCTTCCATAATCTGATTCACCCTCTCAGTCTGTCCGTCAGTCTGAGGATGATAAGCAGTATTAAGGTGTAACTCCGTACCTAAAGCCTGCTGAAAACTCTTCCAAAATTCAGATACAAAGCTCGAATCCCTGTCCGATATAATAGACAATGGAATGCCATGTAGCTTCACAATCTCTGAAATGTAAAGCCTCGCCAACTGCTCCGAAGTATAGTCAGTGCAAATAGGCAAGAAATGAGCTAATTTGGTCAACCTATCCACAATGACCCATATGGAATTATGCCCCTTGAAAGAATTTGGCAACCCTTCCACAAATTCATAGATATGCTCTCCCATTTCCACTCCGGAATTGGTAGTGACTGTAGAGCTCCTGGCGGCCTCTGATGATCAATCTTAACCATCTGACAAGTACTACACTGAGAAACAAAAAGAGCAATGTCCTTCTTCATACCTGCCCACCAAAACTGCCGTTTCATATCCTGATACATCTTATCGCCTCCTGGATGAACAGAGAACTCAGAGTGGTGAGTCTCAGTCATCACATCCTTCCTCAAATTATCAGCAGAAGGTACCACCAACCGTCCCTTGTACCTTAAACCTCCATCAGCCCCAACATAGTAGAATGGAACCTCTCCGGAAGCTATCTCTGCGACCTTGTCGACACACTGCTGATCGGTGGGTTGTGCTTGTAAAACCTTGGGAATGATAGAAGGTGTAACCACCATGCAAGCCATAAAAGCGTCTGACAACTCATCTACATTCTTCAAAGCATTCCACTCAGTAGTGAATAGAGTAGAAAGACTACCAACAGGTTGGCGACTGAGTGCATCCGCCACTACATTTGCTTTCCCTGAATGGTACTGTATAGAAAAATGATAGTCTTTTACAAACTCCAACCATCTGCGCTGTCTCATATTCAGCTCCCGTTGAGTGAACAAGTACTGCAGACTCTTGTGATCACTGAATAATCTGAAGGACTCACCCAACAGATAATGCCTCCAAATACGCAAGGCAAAGACCACTGCTGCCAACTCCAAATCATGTGTTGGATAATTAAGCTCATGAGGCTTAAGTTTTCGAGATCCATAAGAAATCGGTCGCTCCTCCTGCATCAATACACATCCAAGACCTTGCAACGAAGCATCCGTGTAAACAAGATACTCTATCCCGCTCTGCGGAGTAGCCAGAACCGGTGCAGAAGTCAGCTTCCTTTTTAGCTCATCAAAAGCTCGCTGACAGTGTTCATCCCACACGAATTGTACACCCTTCTTGGTCAGATGAGTGAGTGGTCCTGCTATCTTGGAGAACCCCTGGATGAATCTCCTGTAATATCCTGCCAGACCGAGAAAACTCCGAATCTTAGTAGGTGATGTAGGCTGTCCCCACTCAACCACCGCTGAAACCTTGGTCGGATCCACTGCTATCCCCTTTTCTGACACCACGGGACCCAGAAATTTCACCTCCCGCTGCCAAAATTCACACTTCTCGAACTTGGCATATAACTGGTGTTCACAAAGCGTCTGCAAGACTATGCAAAGATGTCTAGCATGATCGTCCTCCGACCGAGAATAGATCAAGATGTCATCAATAAAGACAATAACAAACTGATCCAAATAAACCCGGAAGACTCTATTCATTAAGTCCATGAACACTGCAGGTGCATTAGTCGTCCCAAACGGCATAACACGAAACTCATAAGAACCATATCTCGTGAGAAACGCTGTCTTAGGAATATCCTGCTCCCTAACCCTCAGCTGATGATACCCAGAACGCAGATCAATCTTGGAGAAGTATGTGGCTCCCCTTAACTGATCAAACAAGTCATCAATCCTGGGTAAAGGATACTTGTTACGAATCGTAACCTTGTTCAACTCCCTGTAATCTATACACAGACGAAGCGAACCATCCTTCTTCTTCACAAACAGAACCGGTGCTCCCCAAGGTGATGTACTCCTACGAATAAAACCCTGGCTTAATAACTGCTGAATCTGATCCCTCAGCTCTCTCATCTCTACCGGTGCCATCCTATAGGGTGCCCTAGCAATAGGCGCAGTGCCTGGAGCTAAGTCTATCACAAAATCGATCTCGCGACTAGGTGGCAACCCTGGAATCTCCTGAAATACATCCGGGAAATCCTGTACAATTGGTATGTTATCCAATGACATAGTAATCCCCTCATCCTTTTTCTCCTCCACATAGAACAAATAGGTGCTACCGCCTCCTTTAGAACGTGGCATAGCTACTACATACATATCCTGACCAGGTATGGTAAAAATAATAGATCTATCAAAACAATCAACTTGGGCATGGTAGTGAGACAACCAATCCATCCCAAGTATCACATCATAAGTGTGCATGTCCAGGACCAGTAGATTGGCTAGAAATCTGAGTCTGCCAATATCTAGTGTCACAGGCCCATCACTCTCATGTATAATAGCTGTATCACCCAATGGTGTAGAAATACCCTGAGGTCTAGTGCATACCCTCGTCCTCATCCCAGATAAAGCAACAAAAGTCCTAACTACAAATGAGTGTGTAGCACCCATATCAAATAAAACACGTCCATGCAAACCATGAATAGGAAACTTACCCTCAATAGTCTGAGGTGCCTGAACATCCTGTGGCATGGGGTTATACACCCTGCCATAATGCAACTGCTGTGGTACCTGTCCCTGAGTCTGCGGTAGTGCCGGTAAAGCCAGATGTGTCTGTCCCTGAATCCGTGGAACCTGTGGAGCTGGTAGAGGCACTGGTGCCCTCTGTCCCTGCTGCACATACTGTCTCTGTCCCTGTCCTGCTTTAGGACACTGCCTGGTGGTATGACCATACTCTCCACAAGTGTAACAACTACCCTGGAAAGTACCAAATGGCCTCCTCTGTCGGTTAGCCTGTGGCTGACCCTGTCCTGCCTGTAGTCCCCCATTCTG